GGGGGGGGGGGGGGGGGGGGGGGGGGGGGGGGGGGGGGGGGTCCTCAGGAGCAGGTGGATTCAGACACCATCCCCTCCATCCCCACAGTGTGTGTTGATGTTTACACTCCAAGCAGAGGGAAGGTGGAGGGGATTGTGGGTGGTGTTTACCGACACGGACACACCGTCCCCTCCAGCTTATATAAACCGGGAGGGACGTCCCCTCACTGGGAGTCACTGCGCTGATGCTCCGTCACACGCGCGCATCACTGTTGTCAGCACGAGCCCCGCATCAGCACAGCAAAACGCAGCAGCAGCCGACCGGCACGATGGATGGCCCACAGAAAGACCGCAGAATGACTCACTTGTGGATATTGACGTTACTGACATTTGTCTGAACCCTCTCGATCTGGATAACTTCTTTTTTTTTTTTGACTTTTTCCTTCTGGATACGGATTGCGGAGCTGGATCTCGATTTAACTTTGGAAGCAGGATTATATTTATTTTTTTGATCAATTTTTATTTTTTGGCTATACTTTTATTTGGAACAGCAAGGAGCGGCGGACTGATTTTTTAGGATACGCACAGAAAGCTCTAAAGGATGGCCGATTGGTTCACCTCTATCACCGCAATAGTTATGATATTATTCACTCAGGTATTTAATGATAAATCGTTGTGGCAAAGCGTGCGCGTGCGTATCTGTCTGTGCTCACTGTTAACTTCCTTTGTAGGTTTTGGGATCAAGTGTGTTCGAGATAGATCTCCATCATTTTCAGAATTCCAAAGGTTTGCTGGCAAATGGGCGCAGCTGCGGCTTGAGCGGCTGCAGGACTTTTTTCACGGTGTGTTTGAAGAACTTCCAGACAGAGGTGTCTTCTGGGAGGTGTTTGTTCGGGAGAGCGAGCACACCTGTGCTGGGCACCGACTCGTTCAGCATCCAGCAGGACGGGAGGCTGCGCGTGCCGCTCAGCTTCACCTGGCCGGTGAGCGCGCCATGGCGCAGACGCGCTGGCTTCTCCACAGTTTTACGCACATCATTATGACAGAAAATATAATGTAATGACTTATTTGTGGCGCAAAAGTAGACTTTAAGCAAAAGTCTGGAAATAATGCAACATGTTTAGATAAATTAGGGAAATACTTCTTATCTGAATGTCGCACTGATGCCGTATCCTGTTATTATTTACATTGAAATCATATTAATCGTGAATATCTCTGTGTGTGTGTGTGTGTTACTATAAATCAAAACTAGTCCAAAAAAATAATAATGACATGCATTTCTTCTACTTTCTCTCAGGGTGCTTTCTCTTTAGTTATTGAAGCCTGGTTTTCTCCAGCAGCCGAGCAGCCTGAAGGTGAGGACGCGCTATTTGCGCTAATGCCGCTAGAGGGCGACAAAGACGCACTCTCCCAATCTGATTTATTTCCTATCGCTCGTTCAAATCATTAAACCACGCTGACACAAAGTTGGCAAATGCAGGCCTTTTCAGTGAAATGGGGTTAGTGTTTGTAAAGGAGACTTATGAATCACTCGGCATTCATTATACAATCAAATAACTCCAGCACAATGCACTTCCTTTGTTTTATTTTAGCCATGCGTGGGAAAAGTCTGCATATTATAAACCATTTGTGATTGAACCATTAAAGAATAGAGAACTTCCGCATGGCTTTTATTATTAATTTAAAGCAATAAACGCTATTGTGCTTTTTCCTTCACAGATCCCAGCAACCCTGACCTGCTCATCGGCTCCTTTGCCATTCAAAAACATTTGGGAATAGGGCCCGAGTGGTCCCAGGATGTGCAGACCGGGGCGCAGACGGAGCTCAGGTACTCATACCGGATCATCTGCAAAGAAAATTACTACGGGGACACTTGTTCCAAAATATGCACACCGAGAGACGACCGTTTTGGCCACTTCACCTGCAAACCTGACGGGGAAATAGACTGTCTGCCTGGATGGAAAGGGGAATACTGCCAAGAACGTAAGGGAAAAGTGGACACTTGTGCACCTAAAGAGCCTGAATTTATATAAAAGCTCAACAAATATGTATTTTAATTGTATAATTGCTCCTGAAAGTCGTTATTATTTAAAAGAAAATATAAAAAAAAATACTAAATAGTAGAAGCTTTCCTGTTTATATGTGACTGAGGATTGACAACCTGGTTTGGGCGCGTGCGCTAATCCAGGGCGGCGGTAGCTCTGCAGCACGCGCCGGGGTTAATCGCGGAATTATCGGGCGCCACGCGCCACTAAATTGAGGCTTCTTTTGTTGAGGCGGTGCAGGGCAGCAGCTGCACGCGGGGCTCGAACCGTCCTCCGACAACAATGGGTGCAGCTGTCCTGCCTTTTTTTTTTTTTTTTTTTTTTCCAGAACAGGCATCTGCTGCGCTCCAACGTGCACGCGGTCAAAAAGCGCAAAAATCCGTGGCGCGTTCAGAACAAAACAGGAGCAGGAATAATAGATGTTTCAATAACAAGGTCAGGTAGCAGGTTTTATAGAGAGTGGAAAGGCTTAAATGTGATGAAAGTCTGTTTGTGCTTCTGTGATTAGTGCTAAATCACTTATATAAAACTTTTTATTATTTTCTTCCCAGCAATCTGTCTGGAAGGCTGCAATGCAAGTAATGGAACCTGCACAGTACCAGGAGAATGCAAGTGAGTACTCAGATAACACTCACTTTCTATACATTAACATAAATAATTCATCTTATGAACAGAGCTTTGTGTTTTCAGCTGTGGATAAACAGTGTGCCATTTTCTGTTTTCTCGTTTCCAACTGTCATGTTTTATGTGTGAACAGATGCAGAGAGGGCTGGCAGGGACTCTTTTGTGATGTGTGTAAACTCCATCCGTCCTGTAAACACGGTACCTGTACAGAGCCGTATCAGTGCACCTGCAAGGAAGGCTGGGGAGGCATCTTTTGTGACCAAGGTGCGCAAGCGGCCTCGTTCTTCAAACAGGAAACTGGGTGTCTAAGATAAGGAGCGTGCCCGTTCTTTTCTATAATGTTTCTTTTGTCTATAGATCTGAACTACTGCACCAATCACAAACCCTGCGCCAACGGGGCCACGTGTCTGAACACAGGCGAGGGCAGCTACACCTGCACCTGCCTGCCAGGCTTCACCGGGGTCAACTGTGACTCAGAGGTCAAGGAGTGTGACAGCGAGCCCTGCCTCAATGGAGGCCGCTGCCTGGTGAGTCCGGAAGCCTCTCTCGCTCCTTTCCCACAACACAGGCTTTCCTGTTTTTGTTTTTGCCTCCGTCTTTCTGCTACTACAAGAGGATGCTATTGATTGTCAAGTCAGTGGATGACCCAGTTCACAGACTGTGCACTGTAAATAGATTTCAAACTGAAGAGAATGGGGTTCATTGAGGTGGTTGTTTGCGAGACACAATAAAAAAACAAATTACATAAAACGTTTTTATACTTTCTTTTTTTTTTCTGCAGGACTCAGAGACTGGCTTTACATGTGCATGTTTGAAGGGATTTGAAGGCCCACATTGTGAACACAAGATACTGACCTGTGCAGACAGACCGTGCTTCGGAGGCAAGTGCAAAGAGAGGGATAACGGCCATAGCTACATGTGCGAGTGCCCAGCTGGATACACTGGACTCAACTGTGAGAAGAAAATGGACAAATGTACCTCACTGCAATGCTCCAACGGTAGAACATCTGGCTCATTGCATCAAAAGTCAGTGTGGATCCCTGTATTAAAAGTAACCATAATGTGGATCTGTTTGTTTTTTTTTTTGAATAGGTGGACACTGTGTGGTTCAGGGTAACCTCAGGTTGTGCAGCTGCCGCTCCGGTTTCACAGGACTGCGCTGTGAGATCAACGTTGACGAGTGCGCCAGGAACCCGTGCGCTAACGGCTCCACCTGTATAGACCGGATCAACGACTACACCTGCACCTGCCCGCCAGGTTACACGGGCCGCCACTGCGACAGACACACAAACCGCTGCGCCTCTCAGCCCTGCCTCAACGGTGGAACCTGCACCAATGGGCCTGCGGGGAAACCCACCTGCAGCTGCCCTGCCCCCTACAGCGGCCCCCAATGCCAGGACAGAGATCCGCGATCAGTCAACACTCCCAGCCCCAACAGAGGCTTGGAGTCCAGTGAGAAGCTGAACCTGGTGGCCATCAGCTTGGGTATTGGCCTGGTGGCCGTCCTGGTGCTTCTCTGCATGGCGGCGGTGGTCGTACGTCACAGAAAAAAACAAAACGAGGAGCAGGACTCTGAGACAATGAACAATCTCTCCAAGGCAGAGTTTCAGAAAGAGAACCTTATCTCGACCGTTGAGCTCAAGAACACAAACAAGAAGGTGGATGTGGAGGTGGATTGTCCTACAGAAAAGTTGAATCATAAACTTATCAACCACTATCACCTGGACTACAAATCCTCCATGAGGTACAAGGACGAACTGTCCCTTTTGGACAAAGATGAAAACTGTGAAAAGATAATAGGAGACGACAAGCATTTGAGTAGAATGTACAGGTAAGAGCCCAGGCAGAGATTAAACTAGTTCCACTGTGCTTTTATTGAACTTGAATGTAATATTGTTTGGTTTGTACTTTCCAGTGAAAGGCCCGAGTGTAGAATATCAGCAATATGCTCCTCTAGAGATTCAGTCTACCAGTCTGTTTTTGTTGTAGCAGAGGAGAAAAATGAATGCATCATCGCAACGGAGGTAAGCAAACGATTAACTCAGAAAAAGACATTTCTATGTAAGATTTTGTTTTTATATAGCATGAGATCAAAACATGTTTTCCATCTTTCTCTCTTCCAGGTATAATAATCAAATCATATTACTCGTTGTCTGGTTTGGATTCCTTGTGGACTGTTTACAAGTGTGAAGAGACTGGGATTTATTTAAATGCAAGATGCTGCTCTTAAAAACTTGATAACTGGATGTGCTCTTTGACTAAAGAAGAACTAAAGCTAATAATCGTTGTGAGAATGTACAGACTGAAGCAAAAGACTGTTGGAAAAAAAAAAAAAAGAGCAAATCTGGATTTGCCTTTGATATTTTCGACTCAAACTTTCGCCTGCTTCGCTCAAGATACTTTGAGGGAATCCAGAAAGGAAATGTGCTCTGACAAGGACAGACTCCCTGATATCAAATAAATCAGCTGTAGAACAAGCCAGGATTCTCCATTTGTTCTGACCTGCTACTTACTATGCAAGCAAACACAAAAAGGGACACAAAAACTACTGAAAACGGTTCATTTGTGTAGGATTTTTAACGTATTTTTCTAGTTTAAAAACCCATCTATTTTATAAAGAATGTATTAAGAATAGATCGCAAAGCCTTAATTGTGTGTAGAAGCAAAATAATGTGCCCTGCCTTATCTTGATCCCTTTGCACAGCATCTTGGAGGTAACTAAAAATGATCGAACGATGCAATACGCTGACACATTTTGCAGGGAAACTCCTGATTTGGCCTCGACTGTTTTTATGCAAAATTACTGATGAAGACAAAGACACAAATGTAGAGACTATCACACCATGGACGCCTTCAGTGACAACAACTGAACCAATAATGTTTTTTTTGTAAGATTAGCATTTCACTAGTAATTTAAATATATGAAGCACTGATCTTCTTTTTTGTTTTTTTTTTTAAAGATGTTTTTGTATATACTGTATATTTATATGCTGAGATTAGATGTATGTCTTGTGTTTTAAGTTGATGCTACCAAAAAAGGTGAATTTATTTTTTAAATGTTTTGGTGTCTTATTTCGTTGTTATGTCGTTGATATTGTTATTTTCTATTTTGCTATAAAAAGACACAGAACACATTTTGAGTGCACAGTTTTATTTTTCGTTGCTCTTCAGTCTTCGAGTGCACGGGTGATCAAATCAACTAGACAAACGGGATTTTTTTTTTTGCAAAAATGACGTGTGAATGCGGAGGGTTGGATGACTGCTGAAATTTGTTGAAGACACTGAAACAGAGTTGTTAAAGTTTAAAAAAAAAAAAAAAAAAAGCAGAACGCTCGCCAAAAGCTCTAAGAAGCAGAACAATAGCTAAAAACTGAAAGGCAAAATGGTAGGTAAAAGCTAAAATGACCAAAACAAATGGTAAAAGATAAAAGGAGAAAAACTATAGCTAAAAGTTAAAAAAAAAAAAAAAAAAACACTAGTTAAAAAAGTAGTGAAAGGTTAGCTAAATCAAAAAGTAATAGAATGAGCTAAAGGTTAGGGTCACAAAAGCTAAATGTGGCATAAGACTAGCTAAAAGCCAAAGATGGAATAAGTAGGTAAAAATCATAATGAGAAAACAGCTTTCAGAGAACAAGCTTTTGAAGCAATAAAATATCTCAGACTGCTTTCATCTCTAAAGTTTACTTTAAAAAAAAAATCATAGCATCCATCTCCTGATTGAGCTGAATATTTTGATTTATGGTTTGCTAAAACAGAAAATAATACTATAACATTTTTAAGACTGGTTTTGTTTTAAGGTGGCAGTAATCCTCTTTGGTCTTGTTGCTGTTCGGACAAGCTGTTAGCTCATCAACAAAACTTAAAGACCTTTTATGATTCAAAGGAACACCTATCACCCATCACTTTCAATACCAAAGTGCTAAACTGAAGTATTTTTATAATGAGAAGTGACCGAATCATTTTGAAATCTCTGAAATGATGTTAAGTACCATCACTAATTTACTACTAATAATATTAACCTTTATTTGAACAGGTAGGTCAATTGAAAACCAGTTCTTATTTACAGTAATGACCAAGCCAAAAGGCAGCAGCACAGTTAGACATAAAAATACAGTTGTAAAAGCCTAAAAACACAAAGCAAACAGCATAAATCAACATTTTTACTAAATTAAAAATACAAGAGCATTGGGAATAATGATGATGATTCCAGTCATCTGTTATTGAGGAGCAGCCAAAGGAGTTATGGGCTTTAGCTATGAGGTGACTGATGAGTTTACATGCAAACTGCAATTTGTATTGTAAGAAGTGACTGTGGATAAAACAAGGTTTTCCTTATGAGAGTTTTGTAAATAAACAGAAACCAGTGAATTTGTCCCCAAGAATGAAGAGATGACCAGTTTGTCTGGGAGCACTGTGGTGTGTATTAAAAAAAAAAAACAGTTCCACCTGATAGCAGAGTTATAGATAACATCCAGTTTGTGGAAGAGAGTTTTTAAAAGATCTCACAAGGCGTGATAATACTCAAAGAATATGTTGAGGATGACTCTCAGCTACAGTATCTGCAAAATTGACAGAGTTTGAGCCATTTATGTGTCATCCTGATGCGTGCTCAATAATCCATGTAGACAAATGTTACAAAGTTAACTTGGGTCCTCTGGACAGATTCTTCTTTGTTGAAACGTTTCATCTTTTATGTAAAAGATTCAGTCTGAGGCGCTGCAACAAACTCAGTCTTATAAGCAGCACCTTCTCATAGTGGCTCAACCAATTTGTTGGTGACAGCCCAAACTAGTTGTCCACATGTAAAAAGGAGGACCACTAGCCTAACAATTTATCGTTAGTGCCATGATATCCACTTGCTATTCACAGAAAGCTGAGTGATACTTGCAATAACAACATTGTAAGAGGGAGACAGTTGGACACAGAGGCCTCCACCCATGTTTACCGATGGATGAGTTCTCTTCACAAAGATGGCTTTCAGAAAAGAGAGGCCTTGAGAGAGGAGTAAAGGAATGGTAAATGGTAAATGGACTGTACTTATATAGCGCCTTTCTATCTTATTTCAAGATACTCAAAGCGCTTTACAACACAATCTGTGTCCTCATTTACCCATTCATACAGCACTCTACTAGCTCTCTACAAAGCTAATTGAACAAATCATTCTAAAGAGACTAATCAGAGCTTTATCACATTCATACACTGATGGGACACACATCAGAGGCGATGAGGGGTTCAGTGTCTTGCCCAGGGACACTTGAGCGTGTGACTGCTGTTGGATTCGAACCCCCAACTCTCGCATTGGAGGATGACTGCTCCAACCACTCAGCCACAGCCGCCCCAAGGAATTGCCTCAAACTAGTTTGAGAGTTTGAGCAAACAGCAAAGAAGAGGGCGGACTACAGGAATTCAACCTCGGATGCAGACAGAGTGTCAACTTTCCCAAGAGCCTGCAACTCAAATCTTGTGTCAGCAGGCACCAGGCAAGCAAGATCCTACAGAAGACACAGACCCAGCTGCTGAATGAAGGGGTGAGACAGACCAGTTTTACCATTGAGGCGTTAGAGGCCAAAGGATAGCACATCCGACAAAAACTACCAACACGTATAGATCAGACCACATTTGGTGATGGAATTCACAGATAAGGCACACTAGTACAGCATGTCCAGTCCAACATACAACAACAAAAAAATATATCATTTTATTGGTAACTCATCAAGCCCATCCCAATACCAATGACAACACACTCAATGGAAGACAGCACACCGGTAGACAGTCACACCCCAGTGAGACAGAAAAGTGGGTGAAGAATTTATCTGACAGACAGCACACCCAGCCAGAGCCAGAGATCCATGCCAAGGGATTGAACTTTGCAGTTGCACCAAAAATTCCTCTGGTGGAGATGATCACAGCTAATCAGCTAAAAGCAACAACAAAATTAAAGAGTGTGAGGCAGAACAGCTCAGAATCAAAGTTTCATCCTGCTTCAGCAACGCCAAATCACCACCTTCCAACATCAACAGAGAGGAGAGGGATGCACTCACCACTCTTAGCCAGGACAAAAACATCGTCATCCTCTCAGCAGACAAAGGAAGGTGCACAGTGATTTTGAACCAGAAAAACAGTCATGAGAAAGTTATGACACTCCTTAGTGACTTAACCACTTATGAGTGAGAGATCCAGGAAGTGGTTACAAGAAGAAGTTAATAGCCTGAAAATTTTGGAGCAGGACAAGGCTATTGACCGTTTTCTGTACCACAGACTCCACCCAGGGGAGGCCACACCTAGTCTGTATGGTTTACCTAAAATCCACAATCAAGGTGTACCTTTAAGACCTATTGTTAGCATGATTAACTCTGTCACTTACAATGTTTCCAAATATCTGGTGTCTGTACTCATCCCTTAAGTTGGCAGCTCAGAACATCCCGTACAGAACACTATATGGACTTTGTGGATAAAGTGAGTTATGTCATCATAGAGACTTATGAAACAATGGACTGTGAGGTCTCAGTCTCTGATAGAGGACATTTGCAAACTGAGGTGTACCGCAAACCCACCCACACAGACCAGTATTTGCAGTTTGACTCCCATCACCCTTTGGAGCACAAGTTAGGAGTCATCAGGACTCTGTATCACAGAGCAGACAGCATCCCCACTAGCTCAGGAGCCAGGCAGAAGGAGAAATCCCACACAAGACAGGCTCTAGAGCAATGTGGATATCCTAACTGGGCCTTCCTGAAAGCAGAGAAGAAACCCAAACAGGACTCCAGTCAGCCAACAGGTGAAAAGGAGGAACCCAGACCCAGACCAGTGGTCATTCCATATGTTGAGGGAGTATCAGAGAAACTGAGACGTTTATTTTCTAAACATAACGTCCCAGTGGCTTTTAAACCCCAAAATACATTACGGCAAAGACTGGTTCATCCCAAAGATCCAGTCCCTCGGCACAAACAGAGCAATGTTGTGTATGCTGTTCAGTGTCAGGAGGGCTGTGATCAGTCTTACATCGGAGAAACTAAACAGCCACTGGCCAAAAGGATGGCCCAGCACAGAAGATCAACATCATCATGTCAGGACTTTGGTTAACACTCATCTGTAGTCCAGCGCCCAGCAATCACTCTTTCAGGGATGAAGATGTACAAATCTTTGATAGAGAGGAACACTGGTTTGAGAGAGGAGAAAATAAAGTCATATTTGTAAAGAGAACTTGTCCACTGTTAAATGGGCGGAGGCCTCCATGTTCAACTGTCACCTTCTTACAATGCTGTTATTGCAAGTATCACGCAGCCCTCCATGAATAGCAAGCGGCCATCAGAGCACATAACAATCATTTGTTAGGCTGATTGTCATTCCCCTATCTGTTACGGAAGCACGATCCGAGTCGCACGCATCGCCATTGTTTATGAATAAAAATGTCTTAATTTACTTAGAAAAGTACATGCTATAGCTCCACCGATCTTTATGTAGCTAATTTACGCCACTCGTATTTCCGTTACAAATCATTGGTTAAGATGATATGCGACACATTAGACCTGACCCCCAGCCTGGGCTGAATGAGAAAAGCCCTGTAAGATACAGAATGAATTATTTCCACGGTGAAACAGTGCTGCTCAGTGGTGATGCTGCATGTCATTTTAACCATGACGTAAATATGTCAATGATTTTAACGGAAATACGAGTGGCGTAAATAAGCAACATGAAAATCGGCAGAGATAGAGCATATACTTTTCTAAGTAAATTAAGACAGTTCTTATTCATAAACGGAAATATACTATACATTTTCCTTAATCTAGCATATTCAACGGTGATCCATGCGACCCGGAAGTATTCCTTTTAGCGCATGCGCAAATGAGCTGCACTACAGATAGGGTTCCGTAACAGATTGGGGAATGACACTGATGTCTGATCCAGTACGAGAAGGTGCTGTTTATAAGACTGAGTTTGTTGCAGCTCCTCAGATTTAAGAAGTTTTTTGGATTAAAAAAACCCCGAAACATTTCAAAACAAAGAATAATCCGTCCAGAGGACCTGACTTAACCTTGTTACATTCATGTGTTAGTTAATGTCGATTAGTTGAGTTGACTTTGAAAGGCATTCACTTGTTGAGCTACAGTCAATGATAACTTACTGGGAACTGTCCCTTTCAGTTAATTCACCGAAAACTGCAGAGGAAGTACTTTGTATGCGACTTTTTATTCCCTTTTCCAAGCATGAGACCTCCATTACGCAAAGAAGGGAACAACTAAGCAGCAGAAACTCACATCACTTTAGTGAAGACTTTCACAGCCACTTGGAGGCAGCAGGTTTTGTGATGGAGTTAAACAAATATAGCAGTCTTTATCAAGCAGAGTCAAACGGGACAAACAGACCACTATATATCAGCCTGCGTGGGGTCAAAGGTCAGTCAAGTAAATGCAGAACATTTAATGAGCTTAAAAGAGCACATATATAGGAGTCCCAGCTATTTATAGGTAATGTGATTACCTGCTGATGTTCCCTGTCTGACAGCGTGTGAGCACCTTTTGCTACTAAGTTAACAAGTTATAGTTACAAAAAGCACATTTGGCTATAAAAAATACACCAATATTTCTAATAATATCACTGTAATCTGAGAGCTCAGTTGATTATCAAGAGAAATGTTAAATGTGTGCTTGCAGATCTGTCATGAACCCTGTAACTCCTTTTTTCCAAGCTCAAACAGCTCAACCCCTGAATGATGCTGATTGGCTCATATGCCTGCTAGTCCCGCCCCTTCTGAGATTTCATTGGTCCAGGCAGTCGGAACAACAAATACACGTGTCTGCTCGCTGACGTTCAGAAACAAACAAAACAAAACGAACAGTATATTTGTCCAAGTTTATTTCCGACTGACACTGAAGAGAAAAAAGATAATTAGGCGGCGCGGAGGAGGGTTTGGAGCATTTGCACTTTATAACCAGTGAGGTGAAGTTATTCAGAATGGATCATTAAAAGTGGAGCTGCTGAGACATCGCTTGCTTTTCAAAACTAATTTAGGAGACCAGAATGAAGCTTCAGGACCTGATCAGGGAAAAGAACAACATTTGGATATTTGGATATGGCTCCTTAGTGTGGAAACCGGGGTTTGATTATAAAAGAAGCAAAGTTGGTCACATTAAAGGATACAAGAGAAGGTTCTGGCATGGAGATGATTTCCATCGAGGGGACAAGGAAAAGGTAAGAATTTTCCTTCAGCTAATACCAAACTGATCATATGTGTAGCAATAAATGAATCAATTTACTGATGGGTATTATCTTATTATCCAGAACATATATACAGTGATTTACTCTATTTTCATTGTTTTTCTCTCAGCCAGGCAGAGTTGTCACACTTGTAGCAGATCAGGAGGTGAGTGTTTTTGCCTATTCAAGTTCTATCACTTTTATTTTTTTTTAGATTATTTATTATTCTGACTAAATTACATTCACATTTAAGAGGACACAATGTATATTATTATTACAGTTTGACAAAAAAATAAGAGTAGTTTTAATGTCAGTTTGTTCTTTTCACACAATTTATAAATATAATTTGAAATGAGGCCAATAAATTGTATTGCTCTAAAAACAGACTGCCCATTCTTTTGTTTTTCTTATTATTATTATCATTTTACTTACAATTCCACGCTATGAGTACCTCCAAATAGCAGATTTGTTCTGTATTATAACTACGTGTTCCAGCTTGCTCTGCTGCTGACTCCTGGTTTGTTTTTGACCCCAGGCGTGCACGTGGGGTGTTGCCTACGAAGTGCCGGAGTCACAGGTCGATCAGTCCCTTCAGTATTTGAACAGGAGAGAGGTTTTGCTGGGAGGTTATACCACAGAGATGGTGGAGTTCATCCCCAAAGAGAAGAGCCAGGAGCCCCTGCTGGCTCTGGTCTACATTGCTACCTCTGACAACCCCATCTATCTCGGCCCGGCGTCAGATAAGGAGATCGCTGCCCAGATCTCCATCTGCAGCGGCAGCACGGGCCACAACACTGAATACCTGCTCCGGCTCGCAGAGTTTATGAGGCTCTACTGTCCTGAGGTGGAGGATGAGCACCTTTTTTCCATTGAGGCAGCTGTAATAAAGATTTTCCACAACTGTGGGGGGATCAAACTCCAAGACCAAAAATCCATGGGAGCTTTCTAAAGGCCTGCACCCAGCACTTCTTATATGATTGTAAAACGAAAATAAGTCCTGGTGCTGATGTTTCAGGGTATTTTGTGCTTTAACCTCCTAAAACCTGTACTCTTGCATATGTGGATGCCAGGTCCTAGGCGGTTAAAAACTTATTTAATGTGACAATAATGGAACTTTCTTTTACTCTATCCATGCTTTTAGTTCGGGCTTTTTGATAATGAGAAAGAATTGTGATATACTACAAAACAGAAGCTTGTGATGCTTTAAAACAATCACACTGAAAATATGTTTAAACGTTTGCTTCAAAAGTGTATTTTTTAATGTATTTGAATATATAACAATAAAATCTCTGAAAGAGGAACATGGTGTGATTGTTGAATGGTGGATGCAAACAGACTCTTGCCTCATGTTCTCACATCACGTGACAGAGGAATGTCAACTGTTCCATGACTGACATTTCCTCATAAATTTGACTGCCTTAAAGGACATTTAGAAATATTTAACCATTCATTCCTTAATGGGAGCTTTGACTTTTATATTAATTCTTCAGAGATGTGCAAACTATTCAATTCAAGTTTGCATAGTGGTGGATTAAAAACAAGTTTAAAAATATTAAACTGTCAGAATGCACAAAAGTTTTTGCAAAGGCGTCATAAAATCTACAAGTAATTGATAACAGCTTGTGCTGAAACATTGGTTTTCCATGTGTTTCTGAGAATACCTGAGAGAAGATATAAAAAAATACAAAAAAAATACAAATATAGCTCTGAAGAGCAGATATTCAGTTTGCTGGAATAATCCTGAGTGCAAGAGTGCACACTGAGGAACAGCAAGAACATCGAGTCTTCGCTGGTATGGGTGCAGATAAGGTTCGTCTCTGTCTCAGCTATGAGCACATTGAAGCTCCATGTGCTCGTGTCAGAATAATAAAAAAAAAAAGTAGTTTCAGTCCTGGAAAAACAAGCCCCCCATTTCCAAACTGTGGTTCAGATATAGTTTCCTCGAAATCCAACCAAAACTAGGTCAAAGGTTTGAGCTGTGAAAGCAGGGAACACTTTATTCAGAGAGCTGTATGTACCAAACATGTACCAACAGACAGGTTCAGATCAGAAACCCCACTGAAGATGATGGATAATTACAGCCTTGATATCTTTACATTCTTTCAGTGGTTTGTTTAGCTGAATAAAATTAAATAAAATCAGCGGATTAAAAGTTGATGACTCCAGCTTTTGTGAAGTTATTGCTGAAGAACTCAGCTCCATGCTATCTACCACTCATGTGTTTGCAATGAAACTAATATGAGCCACCATCCTGGCAGGCTGACAGCAATGAGTCAACACAGTAATGTCTGATAGTGGTCCTCTGCAGAGGACAACGTGCCGTGCAACACAAGCTGGTACAAACAGTTTACAAGCATTACTGATGACTCTGGGAGTCTTGTGTATTTTTAACACCTTGCACTTTGAACTTTAAAACTTCTTTCCATGCTGTTCAGATGAAGAGCAGCACTGTGGCTCATCCTATTTAATGATAGTTGGAGCTGATTGTGTCCAAAAAAGCAACTCATGTGACTCAAGAAAACTTCATCATCCATCATCTTTACCCACTTCTTCCTTTTTTGGGTTGCGGTGGTCTCTGGTGCCCATATCCAGCAGTAACTGTGCGAGAGGCGGGGCACCCTGGACAGGTCACAAGTTCAATACAGAGACACATAGAAGCAAATGAGACAAACAACCATTCCCAGTCACTCACATCTATGGACAATTTAGGGAGGAAAGAAGAAACTGGAAAACCCAGAGAAATCCCACACATTCATGAAGAGACCATGCAAACCCCACACAGAAAGGTGGAATTCAATCTAGTGACCTTCTCACTGAGAAGCAATGGCTCTACCAACTGAGCCACCGTGCCATCCTGAAACAACTTAAGAATCAGAATCAGAATGCTTTTATTGTCATTATACGCAAGTACAATGAAATTAAGAGCCACTCCTTTTTTCAGTGCAAAACCTAATTAAATTATCCAAAAATATAAACATCTGTAGACTTTAGAGACATTGCACAATACATCCTATGAAGAAATTTATGGTATGCTGAACAAGAGCATAATTATTTTATAGTCAATGACAAGTCTCATTGGAACTGTGCACTATAAATAACAAAGTAAATATAAAAGTTCCTCACCAGAGATTAAGTGCTTTATGACAATTTGAAGCAGGAGGATAACGCCCCAATTACCACAATGGTAGACTAGAAAATGTTTTCTCAGAACTAAGTTTGAAAGTGTTTTTGTGTTGAGAAAAACTCACAAGCTCTTAAAAGGCTTTCTGAGAAACAAACCCATGTGGATTTTTTTTAAATACACAAACTTATGTCTGTTTTGAAGCCTAATTAAAGATGCCGGGACACCTGCTCTTCAAGCAAAGATGCCCCAATGTGTCTATGAAGAAGTTGGAGTCAAGTCTTTAGGATGTGCAGGCCTGGACATGTGGTCACCCCTTCCACCTCACCCACCCCCAAAATAAACCTTGTGCACTTAGAAGCCTCCATCTGCATGTTAATGTGGACCCAGTTTGAACCCTGACCCTTGATCTTGGTGCTGGTCAATGATGGACTGAGGGTCACCCAAGAAGTGCGGTAAAGAGAAAATGATAGGATCACTAATGGAGTCCATCCGCTCCCTTACACTGGGAGGTCAGCTGGGAGCTTGCCCCTCTCTGGGTCCCAGCAAGTGGATTTGAGTGATTTTATCCACGATAAAAAGGCCATCCAAGGAGCATACCTTGTTTTATCGTTTTATTTTAAAGAAATGTTGAATGTCTAAATGGTCAGCAGATTAAACTTGAACGGCGGCTCATACGGAATTGACACCAAATAATCATTATCTAATGATAAACACCGTTTTTAATCCACTCAGCATCATTGGTGCGTGATGTACTGTTTCTTCTGATTCAAACAGAGCATGATCCACACTTTGGTTGTTTTAATTCAATCAGTTTGAAGCAGGACGTGACTAAATAAATAAAAAAATAATAATAAAACTACTTCCTGCATTTTTAGCCTCTCATATCTTTGACACAGAACTTATTTTGAATTTGCATTTTCTCCCAAACTCAAAGGGCAAAGTATGACGATTTGAATAACTTGAAAATCACCAAACTTGCTGTTTTGCCCCCTTTTCCTCAAAGATGAACTAACTCCTGTTTATCAGGAAAAGAAAAGGATGAAGATTTTCCCAAAAATGTCACCCCAGTTCATTAACTTTCTGTTGAACTGCAGCTCACAAATTAAAGTCCACTTCCTACGCTTCCTGACTGAATACCATTCATTAAAATAAAGAATAAAAATCAGTGAAATGCTCTTACATTCACAAGTTTGAAATTGCTTCCCACAAGTGCTTTTGTTTTAATGCTTTCGTTTACACAGAATGTCACCAAACAAAACCTTTTATGAAAAGCATATTTGCATGGACAATGGCTCTAGGAGGAGGTGAGGGGTGGACTTCCTGGTCTACGGTGCAGAAATAGGAAACATCTGATCTCCATGCAATAAAAAAACATTTTTTCACAACTACAGATGGCCCCACACCAGTACCAACAGGTGCAAAAGGCTTTAAACAAAAAATGGTGTTTGCAAAAAAACGTGACTTAAAAATGTATGCGTGGCAGATGCATGCAGCAGCACCTTTTATACGTATATTTGTTGATATTTTAGCTTAATATTTAGCCTTAGATGATTGGAAGTTAAAGTTCCTCACAATAAAACAGCAGCTATAACAATGTGGCAATCAATAGAAGACCTTTATCATACTATAAAGGCTTTGCGGCGAAGGAAATATGAGACTGCGAGGTTGTAATCCAGCAGCAAGACATGATGCAGAAAAGAAGGACCTCCAATTATAGGATTGATCTTAAATTATTTTACAAACTCAGTGGCAAATCTGTGAGGGCTCCAAGCTCCCAGGTACCTTGACTCACATAGCCTGAATCAAAAGACCCTGGAGGTTTCCTGTCATTTTTCTTCGGAGTGTTTCTTCTCAAAGAGTTGGGAAAGCAGCTCTGTTTCCCACACTCTCAAAGAGCGTCTGCTGCAGCGTTCTTTTACATCACTGCTGTTCACATACAAGCAACGGCATGGTCCTCGTGACAGCTTCACGTTTTATTCCTATTAGGCTGCATTTGAAGCTATAAAAGGCAATCTTGTGATCGGTTAAATAATGCGACTGGACAGACAGAAAATGTTTAATGTATTGACTAAAATGTTTCCAAGTGTGTAATTCTACATAATGACGCCTTGCGTTTGCTTGGAAAGTTGATCACTTTGTACAAATTATGTTCTCATTTTAATCAGCCAATTGCTGTCGTGTTTCCTGTTTGAGCAGATTCTAATCGGGCTGTGGGAGAACACTGATGTGGAGCCAACGACAATAAGACAACAGGCTTCAAAGGCCAAAGTGCAAGGCCCTTACTGGAGTTGTTATTAGTTTCCAGTCATAAAGTGGATGAAAAATATTAAAAAACATTGAAATGTTAATTCCTATATTTGTGCAGTCCTCATAAACTGAATATCTTTCAGGTCTCTCTTATAAATGAGTCCCTGAGGCTCAATGGGATTAACCTGTATAAATAAAGGTTGAATGAAAAATCATTTTCAACATTGCTGTTTGTTGGTGTTATTTTCCCACAGTAAATTTGAACGTCCAGGAAAATAAAATTTGAGCTCATTTAGACTTTCTACATTTTATAGCTCAGTTTATATTTAGATTGCCAAAATTAATATTTCCCACCACATGAATCCAGTCCTAAACTGGCTTCTTAACCTTTTTTAAAAGCTTATACATCCTTTGTTGTGGATCAATCATTGTTCTACTTTTTTTTTTAATTGTAAACAATTTATTTATTTTATTAAGTTTTATTCCCATGACCTCAGCCACGAAGCAGATTAAACAGAAGATACATCTTTGACAGGTTTAAATGGGGATATCCCGCAAAAGACAAAGGATAGACCCCT